TAATTTGATTATGGCTTTGAGGTTTTTTCGTGGTCTCATAAAATATTCAACCGGAAGAATGAGATGAAACTTGCCAAAATAATTCCTTATTTTAATGAATGTTATCGTACAATTTAGTAATCTTATATTCTTCGTTTGGAAGAAATACTTTGAATTAATTTGTTGCTGTAATGAGAATACTTTTATTAAATATTCCATGAATCAGCAATTACTATTATTTAATATGAGGAGTAATTAGTTAAAAAATTTATATTTATTTTTTTTCTGATTTATGTTTTAGTTTATTAAATTCGCAATATCATAATTTAGATTCATTTCAATAAGTACAACAAAATTTTGTTTAAATTTAATTTCTGTTTAATTATATTTAAATTGTATGTATACAAAAGAATTGATTATTGTAAATATTTACAAAAATTTATAAATATTTATAAACATTAACATATACATTTGTACAAACGTTCAATTAAAAATCAAACTTAGCTTAGAATTTGACGAAAATGACAGTAGACAAGTTATTACTCTTGATACAAAATGGCTGATTCATAATGACCTAAAAAATAACCCATATTAACTACGCCACAATTTAATTACATTTAGTTATCATAAATCAATACTCCACATTAATTTGCAGCAAAGACCAACTAAATTTTACCGAACTCTTCAAACTTCCACAAACAAATAATTATCCCATATTAAAAAAGTGCTCGTGAGTTTCTCAAGAGTCTCGAAGGTCAATCAAAGCAATTCTCAATCTTAATCTCAAACTTATTTATAAATTCCATAAATCGATAAGGAAAGAGAAGAAAGAAACGGAATAAGTAGAAAAGTGAATCGTATTCCATTGGACTGGAAGAGCTTTATTAAAATCGATAAATAAACAGAATACAGAGTTTCCAGTATCGGCAACGTCATCGAACAGTTCAAATAACGAAGCTCGAATACAGAAACCACGATCTCCTTCGAAATCAGCTTTCGTCTTTGCCCAGTCTTTTTCCATTCTTTTTTCGAGTTAACCTCCATTTCTCACGCGTGTATATACGTGAATGGCGGCATTAAATTCCAGCTGCGAACGATTTCCGGTGGCGCGTTTTATCCGCTGGCCATTTGCGATGGTCGGATTTACGATTGCTCGAGAAATACTCGTATAGCCAGCTTTATACGTTTGACACTTTATTTTGTAATATAGTAGCTCATGGAGTAACCTTATCGCAGGGGAAATCGCTGAATTATGTGTTCCCAATTGTGGGACGCCATTTTTGAAATACGCTGATGCCTCGACGAAACGAATAATTGCAGAGTAAAATTATTAATTGTGTACATTATTCGTATTTTGTAAATACGTTTTATGACGAATAGTAGGAATAATTAAAGAAAGAAATCTATTAATAATACTAATTATTGGGGCTATATCTAAAATAGAATATTCTCTCACAAATGACAGGATTAATTGCATAGTAAAATCTATCAAAAATAAGAATTATTCAGGTCATTTCTAAAATAGAATATTCTTTCACAAGTGACAGGAATAATTACATAGTAAACTCTATCAAAAATAAAAATTATTCAGGTCATTTTCAAAATAGAATATTCTCTTACAAGGGGCAGGAATAACTGCATAGCAAACTCTATCAATAATAAAAGTTACTGAGGTCCTTCTTGAAGTAGAATGATCTCTAACGAATGACAGGGATAATCAAAAAAGAATCCATTAGTATTAAAAATTACTGAAGACATTTTTGGAGTAGGATTATCTAATGAGTAGTAACATAAATTATCGAAAAATAAAATTTTTTAATCATAAGAACTATTGAGGCCATTCTTAAAATACAATGGAATGATGCCTGTAAGAAGTAATAGAAATAATTCAGGAATAATTTGTATTAATTATAAATACCATTAAGGTTGCTCATAAAATGGAGTCGTATCTGTCGACAAGTGGTAGAAATAATTGAAGAAGATTTATTAATTATTAGAATTATTCAGGTTATTTTAAAAGTAGAATGATATCTGATGACGAGTGAATTTTGAGAATAAATTTCTATTAATCGTAGAATTTATTGAGGACATTTCAAGAATACCTTGTGGACATATTAAGAATTAAAAATGCTTTCAAGAAATATAAAAATACTGTCAATCATAAAATTCACTATGGCTAATTTTAAAATCCAATAATATCTGACAATGAGAAATAATTGAAAAATAAAATTACTATTGAACGTGAAAATGATTGAGGTTATGTTTAAAACAGAATCATATCTGACAACGAGAGAAGAAATATAATTATTTACTATTTATTTACTAGTAAATTTTATAGTTTCTTTTTTATACTAGTAAACATTTTATAAGTAATCATATTTGATGATTAAATACTTTTTAATTACATATGTTACATATAAATTACATATGAACACATATGAACAACACTGTAATTACTTTATACCAGTAAATAATTTCAATTACACAAATTTTTGTCTTCGTAAAAATTTATAATGTACTAATAAAAAACTATGAAATACCAAGGAGTTAATTAAAGAATAGAAACATTTAATCGTGGGAATTAATTAAAGAATAAAGGTCGTCTTTGATCAGGGACAAAGGCAGGTAGTCTATTAATAAAAGAATGAAAACATCTTTCATCGTGAATAATTAAAGAATGAAGACATCTTTCATTACGAAAAAAAGACATTTCCTCCGATGCAGTATATTAAATAAAATCTTTAAATGAAATATCGTTGAAAAAATAAATACGTTGTATTCATAACGTACATGCATTGCGGTTTCAAGAGAAATATTTGCCGAACAACTAATAAAGTACCAGGAATATGCGGCTACCTAAATTAATGAAATTAATTTTGAAAACAAGGTTGGAATTATCGATACACGTCCACACGTTTTAGCCTCGTGTAAACGAAATCCACAGTTTCTCGCGAATTGTGTTTCCACCCCTTCGTAGCAGAACTTTCACGTAGCCTTTCGTGGTCAGTCGAATTACACGGCCAGTTAATTTGTCTGTGAAACTCGCCTTTGAAATCCGACCCTTCAGCAATTTTAACCTGAAAACTGTGTTCCACCGCCTCGGTTTGACGAGTTTGCGCGAATTCTTCGAGTGTGAACGCATCCTGCGGGCCAGCCGTGTGGGTAATCCCTAACGTGTAAAAAAGACCGATACGAGTGAATCAAACCCTTTGCAATTAGTCTGACACTTCCTGTTACATGCAACCTTTGAACAGGCCGGACAAACGATTTTCTACATTTTTATTATCAGTATAGATTGACGTGGTGTAATATTTTCTGTCTGTAGCGATTTTAACGACTCACGAGATATATTTTTCAAATTTTATATTTGCTGCTCTTTGTCAAAATTCTATACCCAGAACTTATTCATTATATTATATGTAAACTTTGTTGTGTGTACAAATTTTTCACAGGAAGTGATATGAACTTCATATTAATGGAACAAATAAATTAAAAGGAATTGAACGAATGAATACATATGCACTAATTTGCTCCTGAGCATTTTCTAGTAAATAGTATAGTATATAACTACTAATGTATTAGTATTTAAAAAAAAAATTGTTCAAAATTGCTACAACCCCTTTCTGAGAGTTACACTTGTGACATACTATATATGTAAATAATTTTTCGACCGTATATATGTAATTAATATACTTCTGTATACTCCCCTACATTAAGTGCATTCATATCCATATTGCACATAATAACCATATGGCACATAAAAAATTTCATAATACCAAACAAACAATAAACACAGTTAAGCCAGGAAATAAAATGTCGCAATATGTAATATTATTTCCGCTACCGTTGAAATATGAATTATGATCGATCAATTACCATCGTCAGTGAATTTCAGTGTAAGGGTGAGCAAATTTGTATCGCACGCACCCCTATCTCCTACCGAGCGTGAAACGAACGATTCAACGAGGAAACACGACGGTAGTAAAACTACAGGTATGCATATATGCATGTATGTATGTATAAAAAAGAAGAGGGGTAGATTTATTACGTTCCATGCGTGGAACGGTTAGCTGCACCTGCAGATAAGTGTCCTCGAGTGTGTAACTCTGAATTATGAGTGGTTTGCTCCTCGACCCGGTGCATTTTTCCTTCTTCATCGTTTACGTTGTCGAGCAACTGGACTCAGAATTCCGAGCGTGTATAGATTACATGATAAATGCCGTGCATCATCGTCGAACACGGGGCAGATTAAGGCCGCGATTAAAACGGCTTCAATGAAAGATGTACGTTTATGGAAAAGAAAATTTTACCGATATCTGAAAGCCAATAGTTGATCGGTTTTTAGAAAACGTAAGAAAATAAGGTTTTAAGTTGGTTAGGTTGAACTTCAAAATGAACTTCAAATGCTACAAGTTGTGAAATGTTCACGAGTTTAGAAGTTATGAAATATTAAGGTTTTCTTGAAACCTTGATTTCTATCGAAATAAGCAATGGACGTTCATTTATGATTTATCGTTTATTTTTTTTAAATTTTGCGTAGAGTACATGCTATCTTAAATATGTTACACATTATACATAGATCAGAAACGTAAATCGTACTTGTGGATTGAGTTTTCAATTCAATATCAATTATTGATATTGAAGAATTAAGGTTAAATTCAAAGCACACCTAAATATTTTTGTTTTAAAATTGCAGTAATAATTAGTAATTGGTGCAAAGATTAAGGAACGTAATTTTAATATTGTATTCTGAAATTGGTCGTCGTTGTCTCTAATTAATAGTCAGTCATTCTGTATTGGGAATACTAACGAAGAGTTTGTATAGCCATTTTGTCTTTCAAGCTATAAATCATGAAGTGCCATTTTGCGATACGATATCCTCAAATTGTACCTAGTTTTCTATTATAATTTATTCTAATTTTCTGTACCTAAATTCGTGTTACAATAAATGAATATTCCTAATTTTTATATGTGTTATCTAATATCAATGATATGATTACCTAAAGCAAATAAATTATTACCTGGAGTACTAAATTCGACTGTCCGGTTGTCAACAGTCACACGTCCGTCTCTGGCAACACGTCGAAGTGCCACATCATGCCACGTCCCATCATCGACCCGCTCTTTCGACGATTTGACCTTCACAGGCCCGCTTCCAAGGTCAGCGTGCAGATATAAATGTCCTCCGAAGATCTCGAATGCAAAGAGATCTTGCTGCAAAAATAAAACGAGATATCGTACTTTAAATTTAAAGTGTACTGTTCAAGTTCATATTTTAAAGGTGAAACTGATATACGTGCTAACTTTTATACTTTTATATTAAAATTTTATTATTGTCTTATAGACGATTTGAACATACAAATAGAAATTATGGTAAAAAGTTGATAAAAGCATGAAGATAGACAATTTTTCTTTAAATAAATATTTTTTAGTACTATTTGTGAATGGTCAAAAATGTATATTATTTTATCATATGTTCTGTCAAATGTTTTGTCATATTTTGTCATATTTTTCATCTTTTATAATAACAATTCGCTATATTTTCTCTGCAACGTTACTTTGCAGTATCCAGTTAACCTTTCTTTAAATAATTAAGTCCAATAGAAAATGTTTCACAATTATTATTTATAGTTCTCTCAAAAATGTACAGAGAGAATTTGCAATACTCCTTCAAAGAACCTCTATTCAAAAATATCTTGTTATGCAAAAATAGAAAATATTTAAAAAGAGGAGCCAACAAATATTTATCTCAAAACAAGTATTATTAGAACCATGAAAGTTCAATTTCTCCAGAATAAAAAATTCCAGCACCACGTAAACACAGACGAAAATGAGCGTATCGCGAAATCCAATAAATCGCATAAAAATAAAATTAAAATCGATCGTAACGTTCATTCCGCGACCGATATCCTCGTATTAACATATGCATTTGCAAATAACCGAAAACCGTGTTGCAAGCGCGACTACCAACGTGGGTAGCATTTATTCCCGGGATACGGTGATTCTGCTAATGAGCAAGCCACACGAAAGTTAACGAGAACCGAGTTTTCGCAACTTTTCGATTTATCTCGGCCCATTCCGTGCTACGCGGCCGTGATTATCCGCGATTTGAACGCCTCCTTGCTTTAACGTTGAAATATAATTGTGGGAATTACGAGTCGGTATTGTTCAATCGAGATAACCGCGAAACGTGGCTGAAGTGCAGGGAAATCCATTTCACGTGTGTTTCTCGGTCACTTCGTGAGCTAGAAACGTGCCCTGTAAATCTTCAATGCTGAGTTGACCTGGAACGATTTATCTTGACGAATAACGTCGACGAAGAAAATGTCAAAGGGCAAGGATAAGGAAGTTCAAGGTGTTTACTAATTCATGGTATGTGTTCTAGTATTAAGTGGTACCATATGGTTCAAGGTTTTTGGACTGTAGCATGTAAGACTTATAATTGACAATTCACATTTCTGTTAGGATGATCGTTAGGATATTCGATGCACAGCGTTGATTCACAAATAAAAGAAGACACTATAATACAATGCAGTACCTATACGTAATACATGGGGCACTCGCAGGGCTCTATTACATTTGATTGCAATCAGGTAAGAAGCAATGTTTGTTAACCTTTGTCTTAGAATTCTTTATTTATTAGCTACTGACACTTATTTGTAGTGGCTCTAACTATTAGATCGAGTCATAAGTAAATTCCGATGCAGCTAAATAGATTTTATTGTGTGTATGGTGAGATTATGAAGGTATAAGTCACCACGAGTTGTTGAAGTCAAATTTAACGATTACTGCGGATAAATACATTCAGCAATTGCAAAGAGTGCAAGGGAAACTCCTAGAAAAGCGCCCTGCACTCGTCAATCGCAGAAATGTCATTCTTTTACACGACGACGCGCGACCGCATACAGCAAGGGTGACTCAAGAAAAAATTCTTGAGCTTGGATGGTCTGTTTTACCACATCCACCTTACTCCTCAGATCTTGCCCCGACAGACTACCACCTTTTCTGTTCCTTACAAAACTTTTTAAATGGAAAAACCTTCAATTCTGAAGAGCAAGTCAGGCAGGCTGTTGAAAGCTTCTTCCAGTCCAAACCAACCACGTTTTACAAGGAAGGAATTGATAAACTACCAGGAAAATGGGAGAAGGTTATAGAAAATAGTGGTGAATATATAATAAAATAATATAATTTTGTTGTTTAATGAGAACGAAATAAATGTCTGATAAAAAAACGGAAGTTACTTATGACTCGACCTAATATTCAAGACAGATAATTGAAGGTGGTGTAATTCTTGATCTGATTTGTGATATAAAGTAGTTCGAGAATGAATACTTTGGTGGTTCAAGGTGTCTAGGTACTAATTTATGATGGTAAGTGTATTGTTCCTAGCATTATGTGGTTCAAGGATGAATGTTTGGATTCCATTAGATAATTAGTAATATTTGTTAACATTTGTCTGAAAATTCTCTATACAAATATATACAAGCTACTGGCACTTATTTATAGTGGCCTTAACTATTTAAGCTACCTAATTCATGGAGGAGTAATTCTTGAACTTGTTTGTTATATAAAGTAGTTCAAGGATGAATTTTTAGATTGTATCAGATAAGAAGTAATATTCGTTAACATTTATTTCAGAATTTTGTATTTACTATTACCACTTATTTGTGGTGGTACAAGATGTCTATTTACTAATTTATGAAGCTACCTGTGTTGTTCTATCAGGTCACCTCATAAGTTGTGTCGTTTTTAACGCTAAGTTTAATTATAAAATAATAATACTTACATTTGTCTTTAATCATTTACGTATTGGTCATCGTTTTCAATGACTTCCTCCCATCTTTCCATCAACTGTTTCATCCCATTTTCGAACAATTTTTATGGTTTTGAATTAAAAAACTGAGTCACTGCCAATTTAACATGTTCTGCATCGTCGAAATTTTTACCGGTTAAAAAATTTTGCAATGATCGAAATAAGTGATAATCACTTGGTGCAAGGTCCGGTGAGTATGGTGGGTGGGGTACCAGTTCCCAATTATAACTCTTTATTTTTTGTAAAGTTGTTTTTGCTATGTGCGATCGAGCGTTGTCGTGATGCAATAAAACTCCTTTCCTATTCACTCATTGATTCCATTCTTTATATCGAAAATATCATTCTGAATGCTTCGGATGCACGTTTTACACTGAAGAAAGGGTACCTCTTGAAAGGTCCAGAGAGAAGTTTTCGTAAACATTTCGTCCAAACAAGATACGGATATTTATATGTATAAACTGCGAGAAAAGGGGACACGACTTATGGGATGACCTGATAGCATTATGTGGTTCAAGGATGAATATTTGGATTGCATTAAATAATTAACAATATTTGTTAAAATTTGTTTTAGAATTCTCTATACATACATATATTACCTACTGATACTTATTTGTAGTGGTTCTAGCTATTTAAGCTACCTAATACATGATGGTGTAATTCTTGTTCTGGTTTGTGATATGAACTGGTTCTTCAAGGATGAATGTTTGGATTACGTCAGATAAGAAACAGCAGTAGATAATATTTGATCCATCTTGTTTTTATTTCTAATACTACTATTTATGATGGTTTAAGATGATTATGTACTAATTCATGGTGGTACAACACTAAATCTGGTTTAGGGTACAAAGTGATTTAAGGACGAATGTTTGAATTGCATCAAATAAGAATATAATAGACTAAAGATTCTTTATTTATTGAATATGAGGTACTTATTTGCGTGGAAAAAGTATTGAATTTGAGAAAGGAATATACACAGTCTGATTCAAATGCAACTGGGACGGTATAAAATTTATATGTGGTACGTGTGATATCTGTAAAATAGGAAAGTTGCAAAAGAATAAGATAGATGATACAGAAAGATGCATTATGTAAAGAATCTTCTACCATTTGTGTGGAATTGTAATAGGTAAAAAATTGCTAAGATTTAAAAATTTGAGAATTTGGTGATTTGTAAATTTGAGGATTCAGAGATTTGGAAATTTACGGATTTAATGATTCATCAATGTGAAAGTTTAAAAATTTGGAAATCTGAAGATTCAGCGATTTTGAAATTTGAGAACTTACAAATTTAGAAATTTAACTATTTAAATACGTAATCTCAAATTTCCAAAATTATAAAATTTGAAAATTTGAAAAGTAGAAAACTTTCATATTTGCGTATATGTAAATTCAAAAACATGTAAAATGCAATATGTATTTCTTTCACTATACTCCAGTTCAAATTACTTACTACATACATAAGTTGTAAAAGTGTACATATAAAAGTAAAAACCAGGAAGAAAGTTTTAAATTTACTACAGAAATTTGATATGTTACCTCAAAGTTACACGAGTGCATAGGAGGTTAATATTTCCAGAAAGAAATAACTGCAATTACCTGCTTCGAAAATTTATTATTACATTGCAACTTTTCTATCTTCTTACGGTTATTTTATATCTCTACTGTAAAATACCTTCACTTTTATTCCCCTCAATAAAATACTGTTTCTTTATTTTATTTCTTTTTGGTTATTTTCCGGGTTCAGTTTTTCTTTATTTCTGCAGCAGGTAAGTATGTATTATGTAAGTACTTGGGTGAAGCAGGGGGTACATTTGGATAAGGCAAAATTTATACATTTTTTAATTTATTTAGTTTTCAAATTTTATAGTTATGAATTTTAACATTATTTAATTTCTTAAGTTAAGTTTCTTAAACTTCTACATTTCTAAAACACTAAATCTTCAAATTTCTATATTTCTAAATTTCTATATTACTAAACCCTCCTGTTTGCACATTTCTAAGCTTTCAAATTTTATGATGTCGTAGAATCTAAAATACCCAAATGTCTAAATTCCCAAATTTTCAATTTTTTCTAGATTCTAAAACACCCAAACGCTGAAGTCTCAAAATTACTAAATCTCCAAATGTACAAAAATCTAAAATTACAAATCTTTAAATTTTCCAACATTCTAAGACATGCAAACTCCTAAGCCTTCAAATTTCCAAATCTCCAGTTTCTCAGAATACAATATACTAAAATTCCAAAATCTCAAGTTTTTCTTAGATTCTAGAACACCTAAACTCTGAAGTCTCTAAATTCTAAAATCTCCAATTCCTCAGAACACAAAATACCAAAACTTCCAAATCTTCAAATATCCCAAAATCTGAAATAACGAAATACCGAACTCCCAAATTTCTAAATGTCCCAAAATTTAAAATATCCAAATACCAAAACTCCCAAATCTCCAAAAATCCCAAAATCTAAAATATCCAAATATCAAAATTCCCAAATCTCCAAAAATCCCAAAATCTATAATATCCAAATACCAAAATCCCAAATCTCTAAATGTCCCAAAATTTAAAATATCCAAATACCAACACTCCCAAATCTCCAAAAATCCAAAATCTAAAATATCCAAATATCAAAATTCCCAAATTCCCAAATGTCCCAAAATCTATAATATCCAAATACCAAAACTCACAAATCTCCCAAATCTCCAAAAATCCCAAAATCTAAAATATCCAAATACCAAAATCCCAAATCTCCAAAAATCCCAAAATCTATAATATCCAAATACCAAAATTCCCAAATCTCCAAAAATCCCAAAATCTAAAATATCCAAATACCAAAATTCCCAAATCTCCAAAAATCTAAAAATCTTAAGTACCCCAAATTCCCAAATCTCCAATTCCTCAAAACTCAAGACTCCCAAATATACCAATATCCTTAAACTAAAAAATCTGTCAACAAAAAGTGCCCCTAACAGAAATGCTCTCTCCCCACGGTCGTCACATTTTCCCTAAGCACATCAAACTTGTTCTGCAAAGTTCTCGTTTCTTTGTTTCCCTCGTCATTCGTTTTCTCCCTCCTGTTTCCTTTTCACTCCTTTTTGCACCGAGATCTCTCGCCGATTATTCGCGTCGATCGAGCCACTGGTTGACTTTTAATGGACTCAATGCGAAATCGTTCCGCGCGAATTTCCGCTCGGTTCGTTGCGATTAATCGAAACGATTGCGTCCGCGTTGCCGCGAATTCGAGATTGTATGAAATATTTTGGAAAATGAGAAAGTCAGGAAATTTTGGAGCTACCGGTTAACGAAGCCATTCATTATTGACCCACTTATTTAACATTCATCAAAAGCTTACAGGATATTTTCACTTCTTTCTGAGAAGTTTTTTCAACTATGAAAACCCTGTTCAAAAGTTGGCCGTACTAATTTATTCTTCTCATTATTCTGTTTTATGGTCGGTTGATTGATTCGTTAGGGCAGTTTTATGATCGGTTAATTAATTGGGACTGGAGATGATGTATTTTGCGTAATGTTACGTGCATTTTGGTTTATTGATGGTGTATAGGATGTTCTACTTATATTATATATTTCATTTGTGTTTATAATACATTAATGATCTTGACATTTATAGTGACCACTAGATGAATCTTTTTTTGTCACTAATAAAATATTGATATTCTACAACAAATTGCCAAATTTTAAATAAGATCACTGAACGGTTCATTACAAAATATTTCATCTTAATGGAGTTACATTGCTTTTCAATAGAGTTTCTTTGCTGTTTATAATAAGCAAGTTTGTTTATATTAGACAAATTGAACTAGATAAATTTAACAAATTCTTTCAAATCAGATAAACTGAATAAATTTATCTCAAGTGATGCAATTCAGACATAAATATTTTTTTTACAATAAAATAGTAATCTTGATGTGACATGTATGATCACTTCTCAATCTTTTTCTGTCATTAAAAGAATACAAATATTCTGCAACAAATTGTCAGATTTTCAATTAATTTATCAGTTTGTTACACAATTCCTCTTTAATCAAGCTGCATGTTTTTTGTTTTCTATAGAAAAATTTATATTGCGAATAAATTGAATTAAAATACAATATTCAAACTGATAAATTGTATGAACTGAATCGGACAAGTTGAATGAATTTGTTTCAATTATGACAATCAAACAGATTTGTTTTAATTGAACAAATTAATGGTGTTTGATTTATTTGAGCCACATGGTGTACTAAAAATGCACTAGGATTTAATATAAAAAAATGAATAATTCGTGAGATTCTTTACATATTACATAGTGAACAAAATATTTCCTATTATGATGGAGTTATATGTTTTTAAGTAATCAAAAATAGGAAAATAATTTATAAGAAGTTTAACATCTAAATACAGCCCTACCACTGCACACTAATACAGTCCCTGGCCATTAAATTAGGACTACTAAAAATTTTCAACATTTTTTACGTCCTTTTTGACATCAGTATTTTTTACAGTCCCGTCTATAAAAATGAACTTCAATATTTTTAACAAACATCAATATTTCATTGCTTCCATATTGCAAACATAAGCTTCAATTTTCTTCAATTCTCCTAGAAAACGATGGAAAAGCAAACAGGTTTTCTTACGTTGAAGTTATACGTTTTTAAGTAATCAAAAATGAAAGAAACAATTTATAAGTTTAACCTCTAAACACTACAATCCCTGGCTATCGAAGGACCACTATAAATTTCCAGCATTTTTCACGTTTTTAAAATTAAAAGGCCTGTACTAATGATATAATTTACGTAACATGATGCACTACTGTATAACATTATTAACACATGTTAATATCTTGTATTTCTACCCTTTGCTTTGGTGACAGCTTCCGGCATCTGCATACATCATATGCTTTATCTTCATTATTTTCCCAAATATCTGTAATTCTTTTCAACTCCGATAATGTTGGAGATTTGTAAACTAGTCTTTTGAGTTGGCAGACATTTTCTGTGGCATTCAAATTTTATCTGACGCTATCGATACTCGAGCCTAACGTAAACGCTCGCACAGCCCTTAATCGCTCATCACTCAATTTGATTATTATCGATAGTAACAAATCAATTGCTATGTACATATCGTTATCAACGCATTCAGTAATAATTTTGCATGACCCAAGACAATTTTCCATATGTGACATAATGTTATCGTCATAAAAGTGAAATTTTCGTTCGCGGTCCTAATTCGATGGCCAGAAACTGTACAACATGGTTGCTCTCACAATGTCGCACGGCCCTGAATCACTCATTACTCACACAATCTCATTATTATCGATATTAACAAATTGCTATGTACATATCGTTAGCAATTTAGTAATAACTTTGGGTGACCCAAGACAATTTTCCATATATGACATAATAGAGACAAGGGTGAAATTTTCGTACGTCTTTCGATGGTCAGAAACTGTAATGACGCGTTGTTACGTCGAAAATAGTTTGTATAGGAAATGCTAAACATACCCTCGTGTGTGCTCCACTGCGGCTGTACATGATAAGTCCATTTGGTTCGTTGGTACGAATTTTGAAAGATATGCTTCCCGCCGTGGCCGCCTTCCAAGGTGGCAGGACCTGAAACAGACCAGACAGACGTCCCTTAATGCCCCGACTCTTGGCCGATGCCGTTACTTCCGGACAAACAAAAGACAGGGGAAAGTACAGATCGTGAAAGAAAGAAAAATAAAGCCGCGAAAGAAACGGAAGGAAGAAGGCAAATCCCTCGACGTCCTGAAGAAGAATGGAGAACGGACAGTGTTGGTGGGCCACCGTGCTCGGAATCCAAAATTCTCGGTTTTCCCTCGTGGACGACGAGTCCATTTATCATGCACGACGGCTTAAATAATCACGTGTCTCGTGTTCGTGGAATTTTTACTTCAATTCCGAAGCAGGACCGTGTCTCCGGTGGGATGGCTGATTTACGCTCGCTTACGTTCCCGAAAAGTCGACGAAACTTTATCCACGCGAATCCCATCGCGAGAAATTCCTCGTTCGACGTGTTGTCAAAAAAAAAAATCGTGTGAAGCTGTTACGTAAATAGATAAATTAAGCGGGAGAAGAATTTTCGTATTCGATCGAGATGTTTGCGAGAGATATCGGTGTCGAGTTTGTAGTTTCGCTCTGCGAATTTATCGTTCGGATTTTATAATATCGAGAAGCTAGCTACGAAATCGATGAGATGAGCTTTGCGTGGATTTCGAAGATGGATAGTTTTTTTTATCGACGAATTTTCGAGATCTCGAAAGCTTTCGGTGTTGTTTGAATTCGGTGTCGGAGAGAAAGTGTTCGAGCGTGGTGCGCAGTTTATGGTACGTAAATAATTTTGATAAGAAATAATATTTGTGGTATGTAAGAATGGAATTTCAGATTTGAGAAACTTCTTTGCGACGAAGGGTTTCTGGGTAAGGTACACGATCGATAGTGGTTTTGATACGATGTTTGAAGGGATAGGTTTTTAATCATATTACATTTTTGGATTTATTATTTGCTGTTTGCTACTTATCGCGATTATTATTACTTGCTACTTGTTATTATTCGTTGTTGTTGTTTTATGAAAACATGACAATGTTTATGTCATTACATAACATTATATTACTAAATAATAATAAATATTTTCGAAACTAAATTCTCAGAAATTTGGAAATTAAATTTGAAACGTACGAAACTTAGAAATTTGAAAATATAGAAATTTCTTATTAGACTTTCATACTTTTACTGAAATTATACTGAAATTTGTAAACTTCAGAATGCTTCACAACACGTATTAATATTTCTCTTCGACCTATTACACTTCCGTACATCCTAACATTTTATTCATATAATTACATGGAACTAACAAAACTGCTAGCTAAAGTCAATAATTATTAGTCAAGTTTCACAATTACCACGAAGAGAAAGAAACGTAATTGAAAAGAAAATAGAGCAAAGGAATCGACGAACCTTTCCAAGCATACGGTTCGAACGATTAAACGGCGGGAATATTGAAGCGTTTAAATAACGGGAAAATGAGAAGGTAAACGCAATTGAAAATGAGAAAATTTTACGACTTCTTAAGTGTTCTAGTGATGAATAAAGCGTTTGCAAATTCCTTCGTTAATGGACCATTAACCTGTCTAGTCGTGTGCAATTTCAAAATTGTATTAATTTTAATTATTATGCAATTGCAATAGTGTATTTCTATTTTCATGTAAAATATATTAGTACTTTAATGAATCAAGTATATTTTACATTTAAATTAATTTTAATTTTTATTCAACTTCTTAATTTTTACTTTTAAATTTTTTTCTAATAAAATTTGTATTTCACAAATTTTTTAAATGATTTTTATTGAAATTTGTTTTTATAAAATTTTCACTCTATTTTTACTGAAATATTTTTTAATCGCGCCAGCAATTTATTTTTAACAGATTTTGTAATCTATTTTTACCGAAATCAATTTTCAACAAATTTTTTCATCCTTTTTCACTAAAATCTATTTTCAACAGACTTTTTATTCTTTTTCACTAAAATTCGTTGTCATCAGATTTGTTAAATCTATTTCAACTAAAATGTGTACACAACAGATTTCCCAATCTATTCTTCAAAATATTTTGACTAAAAATTAATTTTTCTGAAATTTTTAAATCAGTTTTAAACAGATATGTTTATACTGAAATTTTTAGCAAATTTTATAATCTATTCTTATTGAAATTTCAATAAATTTAACATATTCCCATCGAAATGTATTTTTAACATGTTCTTTAATCCATCATCACTAAAATCTACTTTCAACAGATTTTCTAATCTCTTTCCACTAAAGCTGTTATCAGATTTTTACTAAAACCAGTTTTAAGCACTTTTTCTGGCAAATAGAACGTGTTATTTTAATTTGTTTTCAGCAGCTTTATTCAAGCATTCGTTACCCGTTTTCATTTCACACAAAGAATTTATTGTAACTCGAAGTTCCACAACAAAGTGTTAACTCGTCTCGGCGAAGTTTTCGAAATGAATGCAAATGAAAGCAAACGTTCTGCTTGAATCCCGAAAGAAAGACGAGCGGAAAGATACGAGGCAAGAAGACGAAGCTGAAGTAGTTGTCTTTTATTTTCCGGCTGGTTCTTGGGAATTTCGAAAGGAAGAATCGTGGCTTGAAGTGTCGCTCGAGAGATCGAGAAGAAGAAAGAGAAGACAGTGAAAGGGCAAAGAACCGAGGAAACGTGAAACTCGAGAGAACGACTCAGCTTCTATAGTTAACGCGAATATTCTCTTCGTTTTCGTAATGAGCTCGTTATCTCCCTCGGAACGCTTATTAATTGCTTACCTTGTTAATTAGAAGAAAAATGGTCGGGCGAAAGGGATTTCTCTTGTCCTTTTGTTTCACCCTGTCACGGGCCAGAAATTGAAATTTCGTTTCAACTTGGTTAATGCAGCACATTTTAATGTAAATTTCTAACTGATAGTAAATGGAGAAATGCGATGGATTTAAATGAATTGCGACCATTTTAATGCAGAAATTGTCTGGTTTAATCGGTGGTCGATTTTTATTAAAAGTGTACATTTTTTAATTATTAGACACTCGTGTTTACATGGTGAAAATTTAGTGATGTGTGATTTATTTTTGAGAGAATTGAATTTTGAATTGTTTTGATTCAATAAAGTATGTAATGTAACAGTTAGTTAAATTTATAAGGAATTTTAAGCACTCGGGCTTCTGAGTAAATAAAAATATTTATCAAAAAAATACAAGCGATTTACATATTTAAATATTTTATGTAAGTAATATGTTACTATACAAAGTGCCTCACAATTAGTGTAGGTCCCTGAAATGGTGGGTAGCTGATGTAATTCTGAATAACATTTCCCTTTGCAAAAATGGGGTTTGAAGCTTCATTTTTGAATTATTAAGGAAAAACACGGACCAATCAGAGCGC